CCTGGAAACAGCCCCACCCTGGGGACCCCACAAACCGGGGTGCTGTGCTGCCCACTGGCACCACAACGCCACCTGTGTGGGGCACAGCTCAGTGTGTATTCCCCTGGGAGAACGGCGCTGGGGCCAGAGAGCCATGGATAATGATCCCGTGTATCCCATCTGCCTGAGTTTACAGACAGCCCAGCGGAACGGCTCGGAAGCAGGGCTCTCCTTTCGCTGGGGTGCTGCCCAGTGTGGCATTAACCCTGGAATCTCTCAATCCAGATAGACATGGTGTTAACACTTGAACCCACCGATCCAGAGTGACATGCTGTTAACTCTGGAACCTAATGATGGACGTTGTGATGACAGCACCGTTACCTCTTCTGCTGCTGATCACTTCAGCAGGGCATGGCTCTCGCAATGATCTCAAGGCCCCCTCCCTGGCCAGAAGCTCCCTCCACTGCCATCCCCCCACCCATATGATTCCTACGCAGAAGTGAGATGAAGCTGCTGAGAAATTCCCAGGACAGGGGCAGGACCCGAGGGTGGGGATTGCTGCAGGATCTGTTCCCAGCTGGCTTCCCAGGGGCCTGAGGTACATCCCCCCCACACCCTGCCCCCACCCCAGTACAGCCCTCTGCTATTGGGAGTAACCCCCCTGATCACCATTGCCCAGAATCCCCTCTGCTCCTGCCCCCCCCCGCTAGCCCCATAGAATGTTCTGCTGTGGGTCCTGGGTCCTCGAGGGGGTGGGGCTGGGGCAGCAGGTAACGAACCAGCCACTCACGGTGCTCACGGCCTGGTGCTGCTTCCCAGGTGGACCTGTATCAAGCGCAGCACCGGTTCTGACCCGCACCATCATCGCCGGGGTGAGCGCGGCAGCCACCGGCCTCCTCCTCCTGCTCCTCCTCCTGGCCTTCGTCTGCTACAGAAGAACCCGAGGAAGTGAGTGCCCCGCCCAGCGAGGGAAGGGTTAAACCCACCACTGGGAGGGGTCATGGCTTGGATGGGAGACAGGGAAGGAAACCCAGGGGGTGGGGCAGGGGCCCAGCAGGGGGCGCTCTCCCCTGACAGTCAGGGCTGGCCCCAATGCCACAGGGCAGCACTAGGGGGCGCTGGGCTGCAAAGGGTATAGGCTCAGCAGGGGGCGCTGTGGTGCAGGGGGTGGGGCAGAGGGCTCACTAGGGGGTGCTGTGCTGCAGGGGGTGGGGCAGAGGGCTCACTAGGGGGCGCTGTGGTGCAGGGAGCCGGGCTCAGTCTGTCTCTAGGGTATCCAGGCTCAGCAGCTGGAGGGTGAGGTGCTCCCCAGGCAGAGCGACGGGGGGGGGTCTCTCTTCTGAGCCCCCCATCCCAGATGACCTGTAGGGCTGAGGGGCAGGGCTGGTACACGG